TTGGTTATTACTATTATTTAGGAATTGGTGTTTGAAGTAGATAAGCAGAAAGAATTTATGCATTATTTGAAATCAGCCGAGGCTGGTAATTCTATGAGAATTTTTAAAACTACTGTTTGTTATTATTATGGAGTTTGTGTGGAAAAAAACTTTGAAAAACACAATTATTGGATTACCAAGCAAGTTATTTGTTGATTTTTTGCAATATATTTGGATTTATATTTTAAAATTAGAGCTTGAAAATTCTTAAAGAAAAATATTTAATTCTCTAAGAAGTATAACGACAAATTATATGTCTAAAATTATAAACAAGAATGACAATTTATGTTTCTGAGTATTTACTATTTAATTTTATTTCTTCACATTAATTTAGTGCGTAAGTATAAAAAAATTAGTATAAGTATTTATAATAAGCTATTAAGGTTCATGAATATTACTATTTAACATAATTTTATACATGCTAATTTAGAAGGTGGATATAAAAAACATTTATTAATCTAAATGGTTAAAATAGACTTTTTAAGTTCATGAATACTTACTATTTAATTTTTACATGTTAATTTGAAAGGTGTGTATAAAGAAATTGTATTAATTTGAATATTTAAAACAAGCTATTTAAGCTAATGAATATTTGCTATTAAATTTTATTTTAGTTGGTGAGTATAATAAATCTACGTATTAACTTCATGGATATTTGTTATTTAGTTGATTTTATTCCTGTTAATTTAGGAGGTTAGCATAAAGAATATTTATTAATCGGAGATTTATAATAACTATATAGAAACCTAATATCTTAATGTGCAGTAATTGCATAGTGACTATATAATTACTATTTAATAGTAACTATACAGTTAACGCAAATTAGGAGATCTAGGTTTCTGTAATGAAGCTATTCAAGTTTATGAATCTTTACTATTTAATTTTATTTTACTGTATTAATATTAATTTAGTTAGTAAGTATAAAACGTTTATTAATCTAAATTGTTAAAATAAGTATTCATGAATATTACTGTTTGATTTCCATTTTATTTGCATTAATTTTAGTGCGTGAGTATAAAAAGCATTTATTAATATAAGGATCTAATATAAGTATTTAAATAAGCAGTTCAAGTTCATAAATATTTAATACTTAATTTCATTATTATAGACTGTGAGTATAAAGAACATCTCTTGTTGAAAATAAGGTATTTACTTCATAAATACTACTATTTAATTTTATTATTTTTTACACTAATTTAGGTGAGTATGACAAACATTTATTAACTTCGTATTTGAAATAATATATATTTTAATTTACAAATATTTACTATTTAATTTCATTTTATTTATGTTAATTTATTTAGTGAGTATAGAAAGCATTATTAATATAAATATGCAAAATATGCAAAATATGCTATTCTGAATAGACTTTATGATACGCGTTAATTTAGTAAGTGAGTATAAAGAATATTAAAATAAATATAAATACTTAAAAAATAAGTAGTTCAGATTTAGAATATCACTCACACTTTATGCTTGTTTATTAGTCGGTAAACATAAAACTATTGTATTAAATGGCTAATGAATGACTTAATCAATTTATAAGAAATTCTGAATGGTGTCAAACATGTGATCCTGACATAGTAATTTAAGGATGGACAAGTAAAAATAAAGATATTGACAATTGTATAAAATAACATCAGCTTAAATTAATAGATATGAACGTATGATTGAATAGATTCCATTTGATAGATTAGTTATTAAAGAAGGAATAAGTAAAGGAGGATTTAGCACTGTATTTTCTGCAATCTGATTGGATGGTATACGAAAACTTGATTATGATAATGGTAATTGGAGAACACGTAAATCATCTAGTATTGTTGCACTCAAGACTTTGCCTGGTTCTAGAGAAAATTCTTTTAGTTTTTTAAAAGAAGTAAGTTAAACTGTTGTTTATTACGTAGTTTATGAATACATATTAACTGATTCATTACGTATAAAGTTTGACAATTCATATGATTGGAAACTAAGCTTATGATATATACGCAAAATCCAAAAACATATGAATACTTGATGGTATTTCAATATACGAACAATGAAAAATCTTTATAAGTTTTTAAACGCAGAATTTCAAAATCTTACCTGGCAGACTAAATTAAGACTACTTCAAAATATTTCATCTGACTTATCCCAAATTCATGATGCGGAATATATTCATGCTGACTTTTACAGTGGTAACATTTTGCAAGATAGTGAAGATAGTGACATTAACAACAGTATGCAATCTTACGTTTCGGATCTAGGGTCGTCTAAAAAGTATAAATGAAAACAATTTAGAAGTTGATATTTATGGAGGCTTTATCAGGTCAAAAGTTTACGTCAATTTCAGACATTTATATATTTGGAATTAGTATGTCAGAGATGTCAACTGGACAAAGACCTTTTGATGATTATGAATTTAATATTGGTCTTGCAATAATGATTTATAATGGGTTACGACCAGAATTTGCACCTGTAACTCCGATTGTTATATTGAATTAGCTTAACAATGCATAGATTCAGATCCACAAAACGGCCTACTGCTAATTATGTTTGGGATAAACTTTTTGAATGGCATGAATGCATGATGAAAAAAGTGCTAATGAAATTAAAAAGCAATTCTTAATTGCAGATAAAATGATTAAAGAATTGCCAATTAGTGCACATAATCATCTAGATTTAATATATACTAGTAAATTTAAGAATATCAAATGCAATTACAGGTATTGTTTAAGAATTATTTTTATTTATTTAAGCATAAATCTTATTTTATATTATTTAGATTCCATTCGGGATGAACTTTGTATTTCTGATAAAAATGGAAGTTTTGGCACTCTCAAATTTGCAGCTTCAGCCAATTTCAGCATCATCCCCAACAATAATTTACATTGCTTTATGCTTTTATAAGCAGAAAATTAAACTTAATAGTTACCTAAACCATTATTTATTGGTATAAATAGCTGGTTGGTAGTAATTTATGCGTTCATATAATTAAGGATGTATATTAATGAAACGATTAATAATGATCATATTGAAAGATACACAAATTAGGCGGAACCTTAGATTGTAGTCAATTACTGCTAAAAAAAAAAAAAAAAAACAGATATTGAGGTCGAATCGGTGAGAGATGATAGACATTTGGATCAAGAAACAGCCCATTAGATATTATGAAAGTATATAAAGAATCACTTTATATTATTTCAAATTTCCAGATTTAAATGTTAATTCTTTCTATGGCTGATATTTATTATACATGCAAACAAGGTAACAATGCTTGAAGATTTCAATCAAGCTAATTTACCGATCTCTCTGATACTTTCAAATTATGGTCTCGATAAAAACCGAAATTCCGTGCTTAACCACGTACATGATAAACACTATATTATAGGATTGTAAATTTGTCAGTATATTACTTTCCTAATTATTTGGTTTGCTTGACTCTGAACGGATGTTTCTTGTTTCAAAAAAAAAAAAAAAAACCAGAATTTAATTTCATCGGACAACCACTTGTCCAATTGCCCAACCCTGCTATATTATTACGTTAGCCAAGAAATAGTAGAAGTGCTAAGAAGAAACATAATAAGAGACAAGGACAAATATAAGATATATACAGACAGTGCAGTGAATACAAAGACCAAAGAAGAGGTATCAGGTAGAAATATGAAGTTTTGTAACTAGAAAGTAGTACTCTCTCACGTTCATATGAAGCTGCACAATCTACTGAAGGTATTTAAAATATATTTTATAAATTAATAAATTTATTATATTAGCAAATTTTAAAAAAACGCAATATTTTAAAAAAAAATGCGATTAAAGTGAAATATTTTGAAAAAAAATTCATGTAACGAATAGATATTAAAATTTATTAAAAAATTTTGCTCTGCATTACTGTTCGTTTTCATTACGATCTCAATCATGATGAATAGCGGCGTAGAGGGCAATCGTGTTTTGATTTGCTCAAAGTCGCATCACATTCATTTAAAATTCTGATTTTTATATTCGAGTTGTATGGTACTTTTAATTTCAATAAATATACAAATATCATTTTAATTAACTTTACGGCGACAAACTATTCTAATGACGAAATATTATTTCCTTTACTCTGTAAATTTGCAATTTAATTAAGGTTTTCCCTTAAAGTGATGTCTATTTACGGCGAAATGCTTTCAGACAATACAATTACAATCATATTTTTGTAACAATAGATGTGACGAAAAGGATGGATGAGAAGGCCCGTTAGGAAACCTAGTCTCATTTGATTTAATATTGAATAATCACATTGACAAACATCCTTATCTATTCTCATGTTATATAAATAACTTCGATCAAGGGTTGTTTTTCATGAATTAATGCTTAATGCTTAATAAAATTACTTAAGCTACATTAATTTACCATTGAATAAAATAATGTGCACCAAAAAGAATAAAATTTAACTATTTATATACAGTAAACATGTAGTTAAAGTTACCTTTAATCGGAAGTTGGATTTCTACATTGTCTAATTTAGCCTTATTATCATAATTTGCCGCATAAACCACTCCCATTATAGTAGACCTGGGTCTATAACTTGGGTTTGGTTTAGAGTAAAAAGTAAAAGACCCGGGTCTATAATTTAATTATATATAAGCTATAATTATATGCTGGTTTTATATATTTTCATATACAAAGACTCTACATGATAGTAGCCCCCCCTCCTTTACAAGACTCCCGGGGATATAAATAGGTTTTTAGATGGGTTAACTTAGAGACCCGGGGTGATTCATGCATTCATTCGCAACATAATCTTATATTGTATTTTGGTTTTATAATTTTTTAGGTTCTAACCTGTGATATTTAATAGAATCTAAAACTAGGTGAATATTGTATTTTGTACTAAATCAATTTTATATGGCCTGTTTACATCCGAAATGGTCTAACACGAACATGATTAAATTAACATATTTGTTTACAATTTGAAAATAAGATTTTGGGTTCTGCTAATTCTATTCTTTCTGTTTAAAATTTTTTCCGATACCAAGCCTATAAATAAAAGATATCTATGTTGAGAACAAAATCTTTCTATAAGCAACCAATAACTTGAAATCACAAACTTACTTTGGCAATCCTCGATTCAATCCTTCTAGTAACATACATGCTTTACAAAGTTCATTGCTAGACATGTACCCACATCGCTTACATACTCCTTGAATAGGTAATTTTACCCCCTCTTTAACTTCAAAAGCTTCACCAGAATGTATGATGTCTTTGATAGCAACAAGAAGACGTTAAAAACAAGGTAACATAAATTCGTTTTTAGACATATATAACCATTACCTATAATAGCACTAGGTCGTATAGATTCCAAATCCTTTATAAAAGTTCGTACATGGCCTCGATACGCATTTGGTGAATATACACACTCTGTTGAAAAATAATCGAGCTTCTTAAAGTAAGCATACCTATAAATTATAATTATTTAGTACTTTCAAGCGTATATTACGAACCATTTTACGTAAATAAAATGAAAGCCATAAAGCATAGTAATTAAGTACATACATAACGATTTCTTTTTCATATGTATATTTAAACGGTTTGGATCTTTGTATACTTCCATCTCCAGTCGTACATATCTCAGTACATCGTGGAAGTCGAGCGATATCTCCTCTCAAAACTAAATAAGTTTAACAAATTAATGTATAAGAAACAATATTTGTAGTTTGAAAAAAAATTTTTACATATTATATTAAAGAAACCAACTATTCATCAAAATTGTTTCAGCAATATCATCAGCATTATGTCCCGTCACTATATGATCTACATCCAAGATTACGGCCCCCCGATCTAATGCCTGGCGTCTGAAAACACCACAAAAAGTACCTAAAAAAATTGGGATGTGTATGGTTCATAAATTATCTCTATATAATTTATCTCTGTTTCTATAAATAACTTACAATTATTTTTTAATCCAACTTCTTTAACAATTTGGTCCATACTCCATCCATACAATTCACTATAAGAAACAATTTTGAGTGGAAGCTCATATTGTTGCTGGTTCCTCTTCACAGTCTAAGTTCATTATGAACAATAACCATTAAGTAAAAATATATACATCTTTGCAATGAAATTATCATTTGTACCTCTAAAGAGTCATCTCGATAACCTGTTATTCCTTCATCAATTGACAAAAGAAAAAGATCTAGACCATATTGATATCTTTGATTTAAAAGTTTCATAACATATGCCAAAACTGTAGAATCTATGAATTTTTAAAATAAATTAATTTCTTTACAATTTCTTTTTAAAAGAAAAAATCACTATCTATTGGGATTTATAAAAAATTAATTATTTTTAACCTTTCCCTCCAGAAGCTGCAATAGCTACTTTATCACCTTTTTTAAATAATTTATTATCTGTAATGGTATTATGAATTTCTGTTTCAAAGACATAATAAAAACACTCTCGACAAACTTGCTGCCCTGTCTTCGGGCGTTTTACAATAGCTCGTTCTTTATTACATATTACACAAAGTCGTACCATAGTGTTTCGCTAAAGTGAATAAAATAAAGTCAGGAAGAAAGTTGCCCGATTGGCTAATTTTTATAGATCTACCTGTGATCACCCATGATAATTAACCAATCAATTTACGTAATTTTTAAAAGATTCATCGTTTTTAATATATATATATACCAGATATACTAAAAAAAAAACTTTATATAAAGAAGTTTATCAATTAAATAAATATACAAAAGAATTAATCTCATTTATGTAAAAGATGGGTAAAAATAACCTAAAAAAATTATTAGCGTTAGTGCATCGTTATTAAGATTGACAAACCCAAACACCTAGAATGTATTTAAGTATTAAACCTGGGCTTTATTTTATTAAAAGCCTATTCCTATTTAAATTTAACGATAATAAAGTTTATTTAAATCTAACGATAATAAAATTTTATTTAAATCTAACGTAATAAGGCAGTCTTGAACAAAAATGCTTCCAGTTACCTCAGTCCAATAGACGGTAGGCATATTTTGTCTTCTAAAGTTTTTTGGTTTCGGATTATCTTCCTACTGTGGAGCTATCAATGGTGTTTGCGGTGAACTTTTATTAGTTAATTTTCACTTTTCAAAAAATATTATACTTTAAAATAAGTTACCCGAATAATTGACATCATATGAGGAATAAAGTATTATATCTGCCTACAAATCAATATAGATTTGTATAAATATCTAAACTTTGAAATAAACAAAAAAATAAAATAAAATAAAATTTTAAAAAGCATAGCGATAGCAATAAACAATTTTATAACTTAAAAAAAAAGCAGCTGGCCTGCACTTATTCTGGACGGAATTTTTTTGGAAATAACCTCACGAAAGACGAAAATTGAAATACTTATTAAAATTAGAATATTTTAATAAGATTCAAATTTTTTTGGTACATTTTTTTTTATGCTCTTAAATCGACAATAATTATCAGCAAGCTGCATATCTGTAACCCATAAAACACACCTTTAGTCGTGTTAGTTTGATCTGTTGGGAATAATAGCGATAAAGTTTTAACTTTCTAAATAACAACTTCTATCATATATGTAATAGATATTCCACAGGCTGTTGTGAATATCATGAATTAGCACGGCGAAGCCGTGGTAATGCATGATGTCACGGCACACCGTTGAATATCTGTTATATTTCACGGTCCTATGCCCGTAACATTTCTGATTGAAAATTTTTACCGATGATGTCATGCCGTGGAATAATTTTGATATTTTCACGCCATTACATCATAAAAATATCATCAGAAATGTTCACGGGCGAACATATAGGGCCGTGGAATATATACATATATTTTAACATGCGTATATAATTCGTTTTTAAAAACTTTTCTAGATAAAATGTGATAGTTCAAGTGATGGCAACGACATAAATATTTGTAATACTTTCAAGAGTAAATCAATTATCTTATAGATTCTAGTTATTTTATAAACAGATATGTTTAAATTTATTTAATGAGCACAAAATAAATAAATAAATAAACATGTAGAAATATTTCGTTACAGATTCTTGAAACGAAAAAAAATTAAGATTTGAAATCTTGATGATTAGAGGAATCTTTCATATCATTATCGATAATAGCCCATGCAATCAGGAGAAACAACTGATTCACCATCAGCGCCAATAAATCCGGTTACAAACTTTAAATCCTTTGTCGGTTTTAAAGGGAACGCTAACAATGCCATATGGAATATCTTCAAGTTCTAACCTATTAGAACTTAAAGAACTTCTCTTAGAATCGTAAGGAAAGAAACTTATCGACCATTCAGTAACATAATTATCACCTCCTCCTGAACCGAATACACGATCTATCTTTACAATTCTACCCCAAAAATCTTCGTCAATCTCACTACGATAAGCTGCTACTAAATTCGGTTCGAGATGATCTAACCAAAAGTCTAATTCTAAATTTAATTTTCTTAATTGAATAACTTTTTCTTGAAGTTTCATTCAGTCTTCAAGTGTCCCTTCAAGTGTAATTTTTGGAATTTCACAAAGTATAATACAACAAACATAATTAAAATTGCTGTTAAGGAAAATCTTTTAAATCAAAAATTTCCGCATTTTCGTCTGTTTTTGTGACAAGCCAATTTACAACTTCTGGCCAATCACCTTCAAGAGTATTTTCATTTTCATGTAATATTTCATTAACATCAACCACAATTTCTTTTTTCCCTTCGTGCCGAACAAACCTATTACGGAATTTCTCGACATTATAATTAATGTGACGACTAACTCCTTGAGAAATTGTAACCAAACATAATTAGGGCTTAAGTGTAAATGTTTGTGATTGTTATAGGCATGAAAAATAGCTGCTGCAAAACCATTAGAACAATAAGGATATCGAAGAATTGATTTTTTAGAATTTTCGGTATTATGTATCATAACTGAATGTACTTTGGTGTTACTAAAACAATCAAAAACTTTATCTTTAATCGAAATATGATAGTCTAATTTGTTATCAAGTTTAATTTTTGAGTTAGAATTTGAGTGCTTCGAGTATTATTTGTATTCTTTGTATTATTTGTTGAATTCATTTTTGCAAAGTTGCGATCCTAAGTTGTTATGTATTCTACGCCTTGGATTCCGCAAATTCCATAATCTTCTATTGTTAACTACATCTAAAGTTAAATTGATATATAAAATATTTCTTAAATTATCGACTTCAATAAAGAGTTTCCGTACAACACTCATTGATGTTAATAATTTAGGAAATATTTGATTTCAATTTGATTTAAGTTCATTCTGACAAAAATTACTTATTTCTCAAAAATCAGCATAAGTAACCACCTTTAGTGCTCTAAAAAAAGGGTTCATTGGGCAATTTTACTGCATAAACTACTCCCCTTTAATTCCTAAACCTGACCCTAGCATAAACAAGCTTTGAAGAATTTTGTTGCACCACGAACCTGGCACACATACAAAAGTAATCGAAAATTCTTTAAAACTCATTGCTATAAAGACTAATATTCGTATTTAAGTTAGAATTAACAAGATGATGAATCATTTGGAGAAGTTTTTTTATTGGGTAAATTTTTGACAAAGTAAACACTTTGACAAAACGAACTCTATTCATGTCACGTTATATATGATCCTAAAAATTTATTTACCCTTCGAATCTGCGCACCAATAGTGCAACGACCCATATATTTACTAACTATCTTATAGTACTGTATGCGGAAACAACTGAAAGTCATTTTACCGATAATCGTTTCTTAGAGATAGGCAAATTTCCCTCCATAAAGATGAAACGATTGTCGGTAAAAGTGGCTTTCTGGAAATCGGAATCGGTAAAAGTGGCTTTCTGGAAATCGGAATCGGCAGGAACTACATATAGTCGTGGATCGCATCTAGCTTATCTAGACAAATAGATTATGAATCATATTCTATTCTTTTTTTTTAATTTTTAGAAAAAATGAATTTACCAACGAAAGTTAAACCAATTTCTCGTACAAGCCTTATTAAAGCAGCAATAATCATATCGATTTTTACAATTTTCTTTAACATAACTGAAGGAACCATTTCCATATTATTTGGTGCAGAAAATGAATCAATCAGTTTGATTTTTTTTGGTATAAATTCATTTGTTGAAGTAACTTCATCATGTTTAGTAATATGGAGATTTTCAACCGAAAAAAGTCTTAAAGAAAAATCTGCGATCAAATTAATTAAACTTGAGAAAAAAGCAACACTTGGTATAGGTTCATTATTTATTCTACTTGCAAGTGGAACATTTGTTAATGCAATCATCGCTTTAGTTAAACATAGAGCACCAAATTCTTCTGTAGTAGGTTTAGTAATTACTTCTATTTCCTTACTTATTATGAGTTTTATTTGGCTTATAAAGTCCTATGCTGCTAAATTACTTAATTCTTTTACAATGGCATCTGATGCTAAATGTTCTCTATCCTGTATTCAAATAACGCTTGTTGTGTTTTTTAGTAGTTTAATTTACACTGTTTGGAGAAATGTTTGGTGGGTAGATTCTGTTGCTGCTTTAATTTTAAGTATGTTATTTGCAAAAGAAGGTATAGGAATGATTCTCTGGGCAATAAGTCAAGATTTTAATGGAGGCTGTTGCTGTAAAAGTGATTTAATTAAGAAGGGAAGTATCGGTAATATTAGTTGTGAAGATCTTAAAGAATGTAAAATTGCCGTCTTGACTAAAGAAGTTATTAAGAAGGGAAGTATCGGTAATATTAGTTGTGAAGATCTTAAAGAATGCAAAATTACCGTCTTGACTAAAGAAGTTATTAATGAAGGAAATGGAAATTCTCAAAATGATGTCAAAGAAATAAGCAAGGAGAATTCGACGAATGATAATGCCAATAAATCAGATAAATGAAGGATTAGTAGGGTTTATATAAAGATAAAAATAAATTTAACATATTATGTTTCCAAAATTGTTAGAGAAATATTATTTGCTACAGAGCTTTCTACATATCTGAAAGCTTAATAATACTATAAGATAGCTGTGCGACGTTGTCACGCAAAACCAGGAACGGAAGACGTGGTATTGTATTTAGTAAATATATAATTTGTTGCACTACCCGAAGGATAAATAAATTTTTAGGATCATATATAACGTGACATGAATAGAGTTCGTTTTGTCAAAGTGTTTACTTTGTCAAAAATTTACCCAATAAAAAAACTTCTCCAAATGATTCATCATCTTGTTAATTCTAACTTAAATACGAATATTAGTCTTTATAGCAATGAGTTTTAAAGAATTTTGGATTACTTTTGTATGTGTGCCAGGTTCGTGGTGCAGCAAAAATTCTTTAAAGCTTGTTTATGCTAGGGTCAGGTTTAGGAATTAGAGGGGAGTAGTTTATGCAGTAAAATTGCCCAATGAACCCTTTTTTTAGAGCACTAAAGGTGGTTACTTATGCGGATTTCTGAGAAATAAGTAATTTTTGATAAAATGAAGGTTTATTTTGAATTTTCTGGTCAAGTTCCACCTGATCTTGAAATCTGATTCGTAATTCAGGAAATCTGCGCTATAAGCCCGGTACACATTCAAGACATACAAGAATTTTGTCTATGCCACAAACCCAGCACACATTTAGGGATGTTAAAAGTTCGGTTCCACTCAGACTTGGAACTCGACTAGCACTTTCACGTGCAACTAGATTCATGCATATTTTGCATGCGTATACATTTCTATATTTACGGTAAATGTACAAGTTGGAACCGAACTTTAATAAAGACTCGACTCAACCGGACTGAACTTTTAACATCCGTATGACCAAGTTTGCGGCGCAAATCTCCTGAACTACGAATCATAGCGTAACACGACCTGGAAGATTCAAAACATATGTTCGTTTTGCAAAAATCTCTCATAATTAGTTGTTAATCAGTCTTAAGGATTGAGTCCTTTGCGGTCCTAAACAAGGACGACACGGTCCCTGGACGGGACCGGTCCTATGTATATAGTACTGTGTAACAGAATCAAATTTGTCAAACTGCATATCGATACCGATACTATCACAATTACATAATGAATGACATACGTAAATATTTAGTCGTAATTGTATCAGATTAAATTTGATTGATAGAACTGCAGTTTACAGACGATCCTTGTAGTGGTCTATGGATTGTGTCCCAGCTAAACATGAAGGTCCCTAAGACCGGACTGGACCAAGTTGAAATTTTAGCATCTCTACTCATAACTCAAAAATCAGCATAAGAAGCTTACCTTTTGTGCTCTAACAAAAAGTTTTCGATGGACAATTTTACTATGTTAACTACTCCCCTCTAACAATTCCCAATATGCTATATGGAGAAATGCGGCAATACTGCAAAATGATGCGGCATTGCCACAATACAATTGAAGATTAACTACATAAAAGTTGTTTCGTAGCTCCGGGCAGAATTATGCTTATCATAGGCCAGAATTATTTTAATGCCGGTTGAATTGAATGATTAATACGCGGCATGTTGCATCAACTATAGTTTAAAGATTACTGAGATAAAAGAAAATCCATACTTCTTATTACGCAAACTTTGCATATACTAATACTTCTTTTCATAATTCTAAGTATTGCAAACTTAATTTTATGTAACCCAACATCGAATCAAATCTTATGTCCTTACAAGTCAGTACCCAAGATATTACCAAAATACCAATTATTTGTTAATTATGTTCTTATGAATGTTAAAGATGATCCATACTCTATCATTAAATAAAATTACACAATTTTTTTTATTTATATATATTCTCAAAATGTCAATTTATTCTGAATATCAGTTGAGTCGTTCAATTTTGATTGATAATTAATTCAATCTTTAATTGGATCAAACACTTTATACACCTTACTGATCCCCTTTGCTAAAAGGATAGTTGGAAGTGTTAAAAAGAAAAAACTTAAACATTACTAGGTGAAATCATAAGTTGCCAATTAATGTGATTTTTTATAGCAAGATATATTTTAAGAGTGACGGAATTTTATAAGCGAATGTTCGTCATAGATTAGCATATGTTACCTAGTTGCAGAAAGTTTAAATATTTGTCCTCATAATGATAATGACCTAGTCTTTGTGAACTTAAATTTGAATTCTATAGTAATTTCTCAACATCGTCATTCTGATAAAATATTTTCTGATTCATTAATCATTGCGTTAAAAGTTTCAGATAAGATATATCAAGGATCAATATTTTCCGAAAATATAGGCGAAATCAAGAATGTATATGGAAGGAGGTATGATTATTTTTATAGTAAAATGTTTTTTAAAACCTTCATTATTAATGCAATATTTGATATCCTATCTAGATTTCAAATTGTCCTTATCTCACGTCCCACATACTACTAGTAAGACAGGGTTTGCCGGATGTGCCAAGACTCCACCTTGTTGGCTTACCGCGTTGGTACATCATTATGAGGGAGATAAAAAACATATGCACGAATTTTTTTTATCTAAGCACTTTATTGACGGGCCCGAAATTGTTTTAATATGCAAGAAGTGTCACAAACGATTTATACTGACTACAATATTACAAACACCAACAGAAGAGACTATTAATCAAACGAATGTTAAACGTGGCATGTGTGCTGCTAATCGAGAAAATCATCTACATCATCTTCATACCATAATTTCAACAAATACAAACATAGCTTCTCAATGTTGCTATTGTAATTTCAACGTAAATGTTGTGATTCATGAACCTCACATGGGTATCCAAATTTTTGATGAATTGCAAAAAACAAGGCATTTTCACAAGTATTCTAATACTAAAAAGGAAACAAATAGTGTCGAAATTGGACCATGCATCATTGATACCCTCGAGCTTTTATCAAATATAATTAATACAATACTTGATAGGCGACGGAGATTGAATTTAAATTCTAAGCAATTTATTTCAAAGATTGGTTATGATAGTGCGAGGTTAGTATATATTTTATCTGGTTATTGTTTGTAATCTTTACATAAATGAGACTCTATACCAATTTTTCCTCTAGTAAAGCCTTTTTTGATAAGCTTGAGTACAAGTTAGTAGATGATCACTATCTTTTACCACCACCACTTACGGAAGATTATTTTATCAAAGTAAAACACATAACAGAAGAAATAAATATGAGAATAATGGAGACATTTGAGAGTATGGTTCAATCTCATCTTTGTCTTAATATCATTTATAAATTGTAATTCACACAATTTATTTGATTTTTCTGATAGAGGCTTCTGAGAGTTGTTACAAATTATATAAACATGATAAACCTTATGGAGTGTTGGAAGATATTCTTGGAACAAAATGTAATTATATAAAATTGTGCCTTATAATAATTAAATGGACTCTCTTTACACTAAACGATTTCTTCAAGATCAAAGTACAATCTATTTGTCGTTTAATCCTACATGTGCAGCCTATTCATTGTCTGATAATTACACAACGTTAGGGTGTGTGTCAGACATGGACGATAAAATTCTAGAATGGGCTTATAAAAAAGCCGTCGAAGAATCACCAAAAGAAATTCTAAAATATTTATACACAATACTTAAATTATCAATAGAGAGAAAAAGTGAATCCCTTCAAAACTTGATTGCAGGTAAGAAAACTATTCTGTCAAAACAATAACCTTAAATTACACTTAGTATGCATAATGACTTCCGATATAGTGGATGGTTAAAGAATGAACTTTTTTAATTTTCGATTATAATTGTTATAAATTTCTATCTATTTTGTATCGATATTATGCATTCACTTTATCGAAAGTCACAACAATTACCAAGTTGGATTAACTAAATTAACTTCTAAACTTATTCCTAGTAATAACTAAACCTATCCCTAGTATGTCAGAAGAATTACAATACAGATCATAAATAAACTACTCTTGATGCTTGTATTCAAATACATTATATTTTATAGTTAATGTGTAAAGAGTCAAAAAAATATGTACAAAAAGAATAATGAATTTTATGAACATATATGTTCACAAATGTGTGAACATGAAGTAAGAAAACTTTGATCCTTTTCAAAAATTTGTTATTTTTACACTTTATGCAATACCGATTTTATTATGAAGTAATTATTGCCCTTGAAGTTAAATCCAATATTATTAGTCAATATTAAATATCGATAAATAAACATGGATCACATTAGAGGTTCAAGTCCTCCTCGTCAGATCAACAGAACTGACTCGGATAGATATTTTAATAATATATTTCTAGCACCATTAAAATCTCTATCCATCTTTATTCTACAGTTTTTTCTTAAAAGTTGATTTTGCCAACCACATGCTCCGCAAGTCTTTGAAGTGTACGCTTCTTCACAGATCACTACGTTTCGATCGTAATACTCGTTTGCCTTGTGCAACAGAAATTGCTTGAATGTGTAATGTCGCCAACTGAGCATCGTTCGTGATACTTTGGGACCCAACTTACTATCACCATTTGTGAGGTTTCGAATTTCGGAAGCAGGATGGTCTGGTAATTTCTCACCAACCACAACGCGAGCTTGTGGTGTAACTCAGTGACCAAGTTGCGAATCTTCTGGAACGTGCGCAGCACCTTATTTCAGAGCTTGTTTCTTGCTCGTTTATAATTTCTACTAATTTTCTTGTCTGCTTTGGATTGCCATTTATCTGCTTTTTTAAATAGTTGCACAATTCTATTAAAATCATTTTTACTTCACTCGATGATTTTACCTTGTGGGTTATAACATGTGATGAATGTACGTGCTCCTGGATCTATGCTTATTATCCGTCCACTGATGGGTGTTTGGTTCTCAAACTTCTCAAATGGTACAGATACAAGCATGTAGTATTCTTCACATCTATTTCTGGTGATGATGATGGTATTTTTGACCTCAGTTATAGGTTGTGATGTAATGATATATTTGAGAAACATGTATTATCTACATTTTCTATTATAATTACATGCTAATATAGTAAATGATTGTGTATTTTTTTTTTCAGTAATTCATCTTGAACCTTTTACCAGTTTGTTTGAGAAGTTTAAATTGTGACTTGTAAACAAATTTGTACTATCAAATTGCGTATAACCTAGTTTTTCTAGGTATTTTTACAGTTATTGTATATTTAATATAATCAACATTTAGAAAGTTTCTTTAATTTGCTTATAGTTAAGTTTATCAAAAAAATGTAACTGACAATTTTATTATAAGTTCATTGAACTTTATCCAATTATCTGTAAAGTATTGTAACCTTAGATGAAGTCGGATAAATTCTAATTTTGAGAGTTTTTAATTCAAATTCTTCTAATAGTAGAGTTTAATCTTCATTAGCAAATTCAAATATAAAATATTTTTTGTTTAAATCTTTATTAAAGATATATTTTATAATAATAAACCAAGAGCTGACAAGATTATCTTTTTTAATCTGAATATTTTAGGTTGTAAGTAGTTATAAATTTAAGAAATAGTTTAAATATTAGTAGTGTTATAGAATGATTTATTATTATTTTATTATTATTATTAGTTATTATTATTTTATTATTATTATTTAGTATTAGTTATTCTATTATTGTATTATTATATTACTAATAGTTGCTAGAACTTTTCAGTTGATTAGTAATCACTTAGTTGCTTAGTTGCTTAGTCGCTTAGCTGCTTAGTCGCTTAGTCACTTAGTAATTAGTTGCTTAGTAATCATTAGTCATTAGTTGCTAAAACCTTCCAGTCACTTAGTAATTGCTTAGTCACTTAGTCATTTAGTCACTTAGTTGCTTAATTGCTTAGTCACTTGGCCACTTAGTCACTTAGCTTACAGATATATAAACCCTGTTAAATTCCTCAAATGCGATTAAGTAACAGACACCCTTATTCTTTTTAATATTATAAACACATCTTGGGTTTTTTTAGGAACAAAAACCTAAGGATAGCACTTCTTGTTATTATTTTAATAAACAGTTTTTGACTATAAACTGTATTGATACTCCCCCTCTAGTATAATTCCTACAGGTAAGGTTTATCCCCTCTTAGTAAAATAAAGTAAAGTTATTAGTATTGCATTAACTTTTCTGAACTGCCTCAGAAAAGGGTATAGTTTCTTGACAACATCTAACAGAAGCTATACTTCCTTCTTGGATATCACATATACCTATAAGGGATTCCCTGTGCCATGTTGTCATTATAATGTGAAAATTAAGAAGGTTTTCACCTATAACAGTAGATTATTTTTATAAACTATTTTGTCTTTTATGTTATAAGTTATTTTGCTTTCTTTTACCTTTTCAAATCTTTATATATTTATATTTATAAATGTTTAAAAATAAGATATTACATATTTTGAAACAAATTATAAAATACAATATTTTTAAAAATTATTATTTATTTATAAAAATACACTTACTAATTAAGTTAATGAAAATAATGTTTGATATTTATTATTGTATAATTTAATACAAAATATTGTTATTCTTATATACTCAAAAAAATACTTTTTTTATTAATCTTCAATTTTATAAAGTCAAAAATCAATACACTTTAATTTGCTTAAAAGTTACTTAAATAAACAGGCCTTGAATTATTAGAAAAAAAGAAAAAAAAACACAAAAACAGTTATAATTTAATAGAACAACTCCTAAAAAAAGCTGCTTGCTCAAAGTACAGAAAAACTTATTTGAAAATTTTTAGAAAATTTTCAGAACATATAAAATCTAGTTGCAACTTTGTAATGCTGATCAATCAATGCATAAACAAATTACAAAGTAAACAATCACATAAATTTAATAAACAAACAACAAAGTAGCATGTGTTTAATTAGGTAATAAGCATAAAATGTAACTGATTAAATAAGATATTAATAAGAAGAATAAGTACTATTATTAATTAGTTAAATAAATAAAAGTTTCTAAAAATAGAATAGTATAGAAAGTTAGACAAATAATTAGTATTTTTTTTTTTATTTATTTATTTATTTATATAATATCATAGTAGAAACTTTAAAATACAATAAAAAATTTAATTACAGAAAAAAATTCCTAAAATAAAGATTTCTAAACTACATTTGTGTTTATATATACCATCCAAACTACAAAGTTTTAAAATCTTACCCAAACCCAAATCCCAAGTGGAAAAATCCCAAATTCCAAATCCCATCCCAAATCCCAAATCCCAAATCCCATCCCATGTCTCAAATCCCAAATCCCATCTCAAATCCCATGTCCCAAATCCCAAATCCCATCCCAAATCCTTTCCTACATATGAAAAAAACAGTTTCACAAAATATAGCAAATTATGCAATTAACCTATGAGATTCGGGAATTATAAAAAATTTTTTTCATCATAAATAAAAATATTGAACATTCATAATTCATAATATTGTAGCAGTGTTCTATATTTTTAAAGCTTATCCAAAGCTCGTATAGATTTTTTTTTTTACTTTATATAGTATTTACAAACTTCTAAACAACACAAAATTTAAAGGCATAGTGATTAAGGCTCTGACCTACAAAACGTTGCTACTATCCAATAATAGATTCAGGTCTTTAGGTTCTAGATCAACAATCAAAATGACTTTAGAACAACTGTTACTACTAGAAACACTTAAGTTCTTCTGCCCAAACATTACATATCTCGAAATTTCATATATCGAGTTTTTCTCACAACTCTTAGATTTTATTAGTAATTTACAAAAACCACTTTATAGTGTTTAAGGTGTATTGATAACATTACACTATCCATGCAAATCAAACCCATATGGAACAGTATTGACTTTTATCTAATTTGATTAATAAGTTCAGGTTATAATACAGTTATGATCAGGATTGGCATTAGACAATATTCAAATAAATTTAATTGAACTTTTGAACTATGTCCAATTTATCCAGTATGTCTAAATAATTTTTTGGACCTTTAGGCATTGGACAATGCCCAATTGTGTCAATTGGACATATGTCCAATCATCCAATAATTTTATTGAATAGATTTAATAATATAAAATTTAATTATTATTTTGATTTTATAATTTAAAGTTTGATATTACTGTTATAATATACATAATAGCAACAAGAAATTACATTACACCTTTATTGCTTTATACTAGCAAAATTTAAATTTTCAACATATTGAAAATTTAAATTTTACTAGTGTAAATAATATATCAATATATCATTATGGCTTGGTTACCAAATCTGATTATTTGGTCTCTAAATTTAAATCCTAAATCTCGAAAAAAATTTAAGGCTTCTATACAGATAATGTGCCTAACCCATCCTTCTACTATCTAACCCATTTTAACACACTTATTTGTGCTTTAGTCTGAATATTAGCCCGAATTAAGTTTAATTTAGGCTATAATCAAATTATACTTAATCTAAAATTTTTTTATGTCTAATAAAAAATTTATTATGTTCAATTGAATTATTTGAACAAATTGAACATTGTCCAGATATCCAAATGTTCAAATGGTCCAAATGTCCAATATTATGACACAGTCATTGAAACCTTTGGAATTCCAAACTATCAAAGTTTTACAGGATTCTTTATTATATTTGATTTAAAAATCCACTTAAGTGGTACAATAATAATAATAAAGGATTCTCATGTTTTATTGTAACATTTGCTAGAAAAAAAAAATTAATAATAATATCATTGAAGTTGTCAAAATTACAACTCTAATAAATACAAGAGGAATCTGAGAATACTATTTCCAGTCTAGAGGAAGTTGTCCTACTATCTTATAAAGTCTGGTGCAGTGGTGAATTCTCGATTCAATCAAAACCAAATAGAATTCAGCATCTTCATCATGACAATTGCATTCCAAATACTTGCGAAAAGCAACAGCTTTCATGATCAAATAATAGAGATCTTCAGGAATTTTGGATGCTAGGCCTTAAAAGAAAGTAATCAATACTATTAATACAATTGTTCAAATATAGTAGCTTCTTTTTTTTAAAAAAAAACAAAAATAAATAAATAAGTACAGTCACACTCCCATATAAGTACATTTACTTTTTGAACCAACTATTATTAAATATATAAAAATAATAAAACAATTCTTTATATAAGCACATTCTAAGCACATCTTCTATATAAGAACACTTTTTATGAATCTCGATAGTATGGTGTGATTATATGGGAGTGCAACTATTAATAAAAATAATAAATGTCATGTTTGATGCTGGAAATTAGGGACCTCGATTTAAAAATATGAACCCTGCTAAAATCCACTTATACCTTTCATAACTCTAAATCCTAACCTAACTGTAAAAAAAAAAAAGCCAAAAAAATGCAGACCAAAATTTCCAGCTTTAGCCCATTTCCAGCTTTAGCGACAATAAATAAAAATAAAAAAAATAAGTAATTGCTTACCATAATACTTTAAGATTCAAAGAACTTTATTTACTATAATGTTTTTGACTGGTTTAATAGCATATAAATTCCAAAGATATAAGCTAATTTGTGAGGGTGTCAGACCCTTTTTTGCCAGTTTTAGTATTTGTTTACAGATATCTTGAGGTGTAATTTTCATCCACAGCAATATACATTGGCTTTGACAGTACTTTTACTAATATGCATAAAACTTAATTTACAGTATCTTATTTGCTTCTTTCTAAAAAAAATACTGCCAAGATAAGGAGATGTATCAGATTTCTCAGTGTACAACTAACATAAGTAATGCTTATGATTTATCAATTACATTCTGTGGCACAATTTACTGAGTTTATATCTACCGTATAGTGCAAACCATAGTACCCTGGATACAATACATTCCATAGGAGAAATCCAAATTAGTACCTAGGTATTATACTTGGCAAATTTTTTCATATAAAAATTTTTTATCATTGATAAAAATTAATTGATATAGTATAGGTGTTCCCTATATTATACCTGAGTATTTTACATTCCACCATGTAATTTTTTTGAGGAGGTATTTTGATGTGGGGTACTATGGTCCATGCTATACAGTATTTTATAGAATTGTGCTCACCAAAAATTTATTAAAACCCTTACCTTTATAATTAAACCATATTTTCTCACGTATTGCATGATTCCAAAAGTTGTGGTAGCAAACCTATTTTCAGTTTCTAAGGTAGTATAAATATAGGTTTTTATTAGGCTTGAGTTCTGATTATAATAAATGTAAATAATAAAAAATCAATAAAATAAAATAAAATAAATAAAAAAAGTAAAATCATGTATACTTACCAATGGAAAGCTTCAATAATAAAATCGATTTATTAGCTAACTAGAATCATACAACTTACGAATTTTCGCAGATAATATATATTTTTTTTTAAAAAAAATCAATACTAGGATCAGATATAAATTGTATTTATTTAATCAAAAATCTATAGATTAAAGCAATTCGTTTATATTAAAATCTTTATCTTCATGTATAATTTCTTCAATAACACTTGATGACTCACTAAGCTCTAATTTGAATGATAAATTTATAAGATTTCGATTGCTAAATTTATAGAATTTTCTCCAGCTAAATTCTCTTCTAGGAGATCTTTTGTATCTTCTATCAGTTCTTCTGTAGGTTCTTCTGTAGTTTCTTTCTGAATAGAAAACAAATCTTCTTCACTAAATAAATCAGTGCCATCTTCAATAGAACTTGAGATTTTATTAAAAATTGATACGAAATCCTCTTGGTAAAGATTTGGATCCACATAATTAAGCTCTAACTTAGCATTCTCAACCAAAAATGAATGCATCTGGGTTATAATTTCTAGACGACTAAGACTTAATCTAAAAATAATATTTGCAATTAGTTGCTTAAAAGGCAAATAAATTTAGTATGTTTGGAACTGTGTTAATTTTTCAATTAATGTTAAAATTTACTGTGCGATATCTGCACAAACTTTTTTTGTACAATGAGTAAAAAAAACTATAAGAACTGTGCACTATAGATTGGTGCCAAAAGTAGTTATGTCATATTAAGGTTGTCATAATTTGTAATATTATAATAAAATTATTAGTAAAAATATGTAATAATTTGTCAAAATACAATTTCGACATGAAATAATAGGTTTGGCACCAATCACTACTGTGCACACTATTTACAAAATGATAATTTTTTCTGTGCGATATCCACACATCTACTCAAAAAAAATGTGTGCAAACTTTTGTTTGTATGCTATGCACAGTCCATATAGTGAAAAATAGTCACTGGTTTGGAATTTCTTATTTAAATTTAAAATAGGTTCTACATTACCGGGCAACAAAATAAATTTATCATTATCAATTGACAAAAAAAGAATTTAAAAATTTATACATAATTAAAAAAAACAGCTTTAAAATATGTTAATTTGCTAATCAAAATAGATTGTGTAATGATACACAAATTGTGCATATGTATAGACTAATTTAACTAAGAAATTCTGAATACATATGCTTAAAATAAACCTACCTAGTTCTTCTTTTTCTGAAATACCATCCTTGAATGCTAAAAACACGCTCACAGGCAGCATTATGGGGTGAAATAGAATGTATTTTTAGAGCAAGGCTTTTAATATGATCTTCATGTTTTTTTATTTCTATAGACATCCACTAATTAGTAATTGTATCAGCAGATGCAATAAATTTATCATCAAAGGAAGGTTTCTGATTTTTATACAAATTCATTTGAGTTTTTAAAAGATCTGCACTTGTTCGACCATCATCTAACTTCTTTCATATTTCTAAAGCCTTTTTAAGAATATGATTTTTATATATGTTAAACTTAAAAAAATTATCTTTAATAAAAAAAAAATCAAATTAAATTAAAAATATGCATTCTGAAGTAAGTTAATAAAAAACCTTTTAAGTACCTCGGTAAGCTGAGTGTAAAAAAAAGGACAAAAGATACAAATCTGTATCAAATTCTTTCTATTGCTTATTATAAATAGCAATACAATCTCATCGAAATTGGCTATTATATAAAACAGAAGTTTCTTTGATTGTGATTGCCATTTTTACTAGTTCAACAAACATATTAGCTAACAAGGTGGTTCGAAACTCCACATTTTTTACAGCCCATTTTACTGGGTGGAGAATATCTCGCAATTGTTCTATGTCAATTCAAAATTGATGATCACCAATTAACTCTTTTACAGTGCTCGCCTGATTAAAAATTTGAGGATCTTGTTCTAAAACCTATTAAAAATAGGTTATCTTAATTAAGATATGGTCATGTGTGTATAGAGTGCCATCAAGGGAAAACTCACAAATCTTATCTAATAAGATTTGCAGAGTTTTTTTTGACAGCACTCATATGTATATTAAAAATCTAATTGCAATAATACCGATTTAATGTTCTCTTCATTGTGTATAATTGATTTACAACAATCCTATACTGTTGACCACCAGGTTTTAGTGCTTGATTTTAAATTTCTACCAACAGTGAAAGTAGATATAATTTCTTGATTAAGGGTAGCACCAGCAATATAAGAATTCCTCAAAAACTTTATGACTGTTTGACAGTTAAAAAGAATAGCTCGTGCATGAGGTAAATGACAGATACTGCTAGAGATTAATTGTATGTGATGCACAATGCATCTAACAAGTAAAATATGCGGATATTGTGTTGCAACTAGATGTTTTGCTGCTGTCATTGCCAATTCTGCATAAGACACCACTGCACAAATTTTTTAGGTCCAACATTTTCTATTACTTCTCTTATTCTTTTAGCATTAAAATTTGCCATATGAGAGGACATTAAAAAATCACGTAAAGAATAAATATATTGTTTCTTCTCATCCATCATTATCACAAAGGCATATATGCTATGTTTTAATGGACTGCACCAACTGTCTACACACAGCATTAGATTTTTAGATTTCAATAGTTCTTTCTCTATTTTTAGTGTTATGTTCGCTGCTTCTACATCCAAGATTGATGTTGCCAATGTAGCTCTCTTAGGTGAATTATACTCTGGGTTTAATAACTTTGTAAAATTCTCAAAATAAGGAGAATCAAAGGCAGAAAATGAGATATCAGAACACACAATCTATTTGATCAGCAATTTATTGGCCCTTGTTTCTTTAGCTTTATCAATGGCTTCTTTTGTGTCATAGTATGCATCCATGGTTAATATAGGATAGTCTGATTTCCTTTTTTTTTTTGAAGTTGACCCATCCTCATTTTGAATATCCCGAAGTACCTTAATTCAAATATCTTTTGGCACTCTTCTTTTACATTTCAGTGCAAGGTGAGCCTTCATTTCATGAGCTCTTTCTCGAGTTTATAATGTAGCACAATACCTACATCATGCCCCTTTATGTATCCCTCTTTCATTGATAATTGCATCAAATTCGTTCCAAATATCCTCTTGGGGTTGCCCTCCACTATATGATGATTGCGTTGTCTCTGTTTGTTTGGAATTTGCTTCTGAAGCCAAAATGGAATCATTTGAAATATTACCAAGACTAGTAGCATCATTGTTCATAATATTATTATTCATAACATTATTGTTCATAATATCATCATCCATTGTTATATAAAAAAAAAAGAAAATATCTATAAAAATGTTTTTAAAAAAAAAAGTGATGTATACCAATAAGATTGTTAAGGAAGGGAAATATTTGCTAATAAAATTCTAAGAAAAAGGTATAACTTCTACAAAAAACAATGCTATATGGTTCATTTAGATAGAGATGATTAATAAAGTTTTTAAGATATTGGAACAAATCCAAACTATAATATATAGTTTGGAATTGGACAAGTATATCTCACAAGATCGGTATTTTTTTAATATTAATTTTTGACTCAATTTATAGCTAATAAGAGGGCATCGGTTAAATTTAAATATTTACTAAATTATCATCTTTTCAAATTAGTAATTTTGTGAATCCTATAAATGTATATTACCATTGTTTAAACAATATAAAATGTGATTTACAAAGTTTAATTGTCTTACTAATTTGAAAAATGCGATTCACAGGCTCTATTCAATGGTACTGGGACCTTCAATAGTATATATATGTATAACTTTTGGAGCGTGTTTTTTGGCTGAATACGTAATGCAAAAATCACCAAACTAAATAAGGCTTTTTATCTCTAAATTTGTATACAATACATGAACTGATAAAAAGGCCTACAAAACCTGATTGTCTCATTAATTTGAAAATCGTGAAATTTGTTTAATTTGAAAAAAGCAATTCAAATCTGCTTCACTAATTTGAAAACCCATTACTAATTTGAAAAAAGTGATTCACAAAATCCGGTTCACTAATTTGAAAAAAGCGATAAAGAATAATGATAATTCATAATATATTTTACTTATCAATCTAATCAAAAATGAATTATGCATTATCGTCAATAATATATCAAAGTATTTGCATATTTATTACAAATTTACTAATAGCTTTATAGCTAATTCGCTTACTGAATTGTAAACCATGGCTGTATCTTGCGTTGCATTATCATAATTCATAATGTAACCCAAACCTAAATCTGAAAGTCCTGTTATGTGCAGAATCCCCAAACTGCTAAAACTATATAGTTGAAATTTTGGTGTAATCAAGTCCCAAATACAATGCAGAGCTACTGGATGTTGATAGTACAATTAGTTAGCAAAAATAGCTATATAGTGAAATTAGCAAATTTAGCAAAATAGCTTATTATAAATTTATATTTATTAAGCATAAATTTTATATCTCTTCTGCAAGTTCTTTGTCTATTATGCATATACTTGGCTAAAAAATAGTGCTATTTTAAGTACTAAAAATTCAAGGGTAATTGTTAAATTATACTGAAAAGGTTTAGATTATATTGCTAATTATAAAACCCTTCCTCTCTGTAATTTTCGACCAATTAAATTTCAAGTCAGGTGCAACAACCAATCAAATTTCAAGATCAGGTATAATGTAAACAATCGAAGCAAACCCACTTTTTTACAAAAAAACTAGAAATAACTCAAAATTTTAATTAAGAAACCACCTTCTGCAGTCTAATTAAAAATGCTCTTTGTGAAATTCTACTTTTAAATATTAAGTTATTCTAATCCAATCTAAACTACAATGCTATTTTATTTTTGGTAAAAAATTACAGAAAGAAAGAATTTTGTAGGTGCACTCTCATAGGGGGACATTCGTATGATTGGCTGATTGATTCAATTGCTTGGGTAACTAATTTATATGCTTTAAAGTACTTTTTGGAAACTCAACATTTCACTAACAAAAAATCACCATAAAAGCCATTTCTAGCTTCTAAAGAACATCTATACATGCTGTAAAAAATAATCAAAAAATAATCAACATCTCTGAGAACTTCACTTAGAAACAAATATTTTTACTATTCATTGCTAGTACTAGTTATAGTAGCTATATGTAAGTTCTAAATGCTGGAAACAGTCAGCAAAAAAGAAGATTGAAACGTTATACTATATAAGCTTTAAATTTAAAGAACTTTGTATATTTTGTTTGACATGCTATTATAATAATAATAGATCAGTACTAATGTTTATTTTGCATATTCTGAGTATTAAACTGTTAGAACTGTTAGATTAGTAAGCATAACTTGGATTAAGTAATAGCAATAGGTGTAATAAGCGATTATATGTATAAAATACTCTTGTTCTATTAATTATATAGTCTAAAGGTTATGTCACATCTTTAATAAAGGTCATGATAACTAAAATATAAAATCATTTATATGTATTTATTAGTTTATAAGCTTCTTTGTGAAGTTTTTTCATTTTCTAGTATATAGTATGGAAATAATAACGATAAATCTTTTGTATTTTGATTGGTTAATTATCACAGGAAATCATAGGTAAATCTACCAATCAAACAAAAGTCCTCCTATGAGGTGCACTCTAAATCCTAATTATAATACAGCATGTGAATAATTTCTAGAATAATGATTTGGAACATAGGATGGAATTTGGGATTTGGGATGAAATTTGGGATTTGGAATGGGGTTTGGGATTTGGCTAGAGTTTGGGATTTGGGATTGGGATTTGTCCAGTTTGTTTATATGGGATTGTTAAGTATAGCTGGACAATTCTATTTGTCTGGGTTTGTCTATGGACAAATCCCAAATCCCAAGAGTTTGTCTAGCATGTATATTTGTGTTGCTAAAAAAAGACATCCAATGTGACATTACACCTTCTATTTCCTAATGAGTACTATAGATAATTGTTTCAAATTATTTTCTAGCTAGGATAGGTTGGAGGAAACCTTAGTGAGAGTCAAGATATTATATAAAGCATATGGTTAGAGTAAAACCTTGTAAGAGCTATTTGTTAATTGCTACTATAGTATTAGAAGTTTGTATAATTCTTGAAAGGTTGTTAGTAGAAGTAAATATTGTTGAAAAGTGAATTTTTGTATATTTAGTTTTAGTAGTTATATTTTGAGCAAGTTCTCATTGATGTTGAGATATGTTGCATGTAAACTATAGGTTTTGATAATACCAGGTAAGAAGATTGTTGACTAAATTAGTCAAAAAAATGTTTATTTGTTTGTTTAAAAGAACTTTGATATTATTGTAGATAGTTATAGAAAAAGTGTCAGATATGGCATATAAGATAGATTGGTAATTAGGATTAGTGTAGTTGGCTGTGAAATTTGAGATAATATTAAAAATAAAAAGTGCTAGACTGTTAGGTATTTGAAGTGAGGTGAGTGTTAATTGAATTGTATTAAAAATTGCTTGGTTTATATTAATATTATTGCCTGTACTAAGGAAGAGGTGAAGTGTGTCTTCGAGATTTGTACATTGGAACATGTTGTTGTTGTATAGAAATAATAATAGCATATATTAAGATTTTATATAGTGGGCAGGTTATTTATAAGAATTTTAATATGAAAGAAGTATTTTTGAGTATCATGTTTTATGGATTTGATTATTTGAAAATTGAAAACCCAGTTAGGTTCTGAGGTATTTTGGAAGTGTTTAAGTATAGACCAAAAAGAGAGTTCTTGAATTGTAATAGTATTTTTGATAAAGTTACAAATTTTAAATAGTATAAGATGATTATTTCATAAAAAGTAAGTTGGAGTATTTGGCAGTGATGGTTCGAGAATGGGTTTAGAAGTTCCTCATTTTGCTAAGAAGTCTGCTTGGTTATAAAATGAATTTATATGTAATTTAATTTTTAAAAATTGTACATTAAGGTTTTTAAGAGTTTTAAGATAATTGATAAAAGAAATAATATCCTAATTTTTAATATGTAATTGTTTTAAGAGGGAAATGTGTTGCAAGTTTTTAATTGCTGTTTGGTTGTCAAGGTGGATTGTAATAGTAATGTTTGATGGTATAACTAAAAAAAATGATAAAACTGCTTCAAGTTTAGTGTGATTAGTATCAGCATATGATTTTGTACTTGCATTAAAGTTTATATTAGTGTTTGTTTTACAAATCCAGCCTATACCTGATTTAATATTTGGTATTTGACAGTCTTTAATAAAACTATCAATATAGAAAATTAAGTTGTCTAAGTTAGAGTTTCTAATTGAGGAGTAAATTTTGATTAATTGATTTTTATATAAAGTTGATTTAATGGTTTATTGAATGAGTTATATTTTAAGAGAAATTAAGTTTACTGAGAAATAAGAAAGAGGTAAGGGTTTGGAAGAAGTGTGATTGTTAATATGGATAAGTGAGAGAATTTTATTGAAGTCAATTTATAGTAAGTTTTTGGTGAGTTTAAGTTAGTTGTATAGAATACTAATAGATTGAAAGTTTGAGGTTATTGAAAGCAAAGTAGAAGTAATTATAGTAAATCCAAATGAGTGATAATGTAGTTGATAGAAATTTGTTTGTTGAAAATGAATTTGTTATGAAAGAAAGATTTGTTGATTAATATTGTAAAAAATTTTGTAAGGGAAAAGATAAGTTGAGAAAAAGAAAAGAATGTCTATCGAGTTGATGAAGGAGTTTTTGGAAAGAAGTTTTAAATGAGGCCAGGTTGTAGTAATATTGTAATTTTGATTAGAAGAGAAGATTTGTGTGAACCAAGTTGGTTGATGTTCTTGTGTAGGTTTGTTTGTTCATAAATATATGTTATTTCATGAAAGAAAGCATGAATTGTTTGCTATTGTAATTTGTTCAAGAAATAGAATGCTGTTATTTTTTAGACTTTGAATAGTTAAGTTGGATAATTTTGAAGAAAGTATATTATATATTGTTTTGTAGTTTATAAAAATTTCTGGTAATAGTAAAAAGTTAGACAGTGAGATATTGTATTTTGCAAGTTGGCAAATATAAAAAATTAGTATGAAGTTTTGTGTTTTTTTTTTTTTTTTTTTTGGTATTAAGGTAACCTCTTTGGTCTTTTGACTTTTATTAATCACTTATTAGTATTGTGGTT